AACGCGTACGAGATTTACTTACAGTTGCAGAGCCAAGAAAGAAGTAGAAGATTTATTCTGCACTATTCCATGAAAGCTTTTCCTCGGGTTCTTGTATCCAGTTACTTTGTTATGTCCAGCACTAAACAAGAATGGTTGACTGATGGTGATGAAGGCAGCAGATTATGAAATTTTTAGGTACTATCGTGGGAGTGAAAATGTCCACTCTAAATGCAAAAGGTTGGGTACAATGATAAAAAGGTATTTTATTATTGATGATTTGATTTGACGATTGATGAGTATTTTGTTTGATAGGGACAACATGAACGTCGTCACACTTTAGGAGTTACCAAAGCATAGTTGAAGAGAAAGGAACGACGTTATGAATAAATTGCTATAAAAAACTTGTAGTTACCTAATTGAGATCAACGCTCAAAATTTTATATCGAAACGGGTATATTTCATTATTTTTTATTATTACTTAATATTTAATGTTATTCAATATTCATGTACAGTCTCAACCTTAAACATGTTTAACGTAAGGTGGATTAACTGGGCAGTAAATTCTATTTGTTTTTAATCGAATAAAATAGTTAGGCACTCTCTATCTTTCATTGGAACCATTGGAAAGTTACTACAACAAATAACTATTTGACGCTAAAAAGTCTATATTAGATTTCGTCTAGACTAATTAGATACCTGAGTTAAAGATTTGACTAAATAAATTTTGACTTGATTATTATTTTAACGATGATTATAAGCTCCAAAATAATACATTAATTTCCTGTATAGTTTCGTTGTTTTCTTTCCAATTAGAAGGAATTAGGAGGATATGATCATTATCCAGGTATTTGTGCATTTAAATAATTAGATACAAATAAATTTATTCATGACAAAACTCCCCCAAGGACACCGGTAATTAGATTATTGATAAAGATTGTAATAGACGAAACCACCGATATGATTACTGAAATACGAATAAAATAACGCCGGATTAAAGTATTACAACTATAATAGATACATTGTGATGTAAAGTTCAGATTTTAGGCCAGTAAAGAAAACAAAACATCTGAAAAAATATAGGTTTTTATACTAGGATTTAGTAAATCCTAGTAAAATTCAATAACTTCTTTATGAAAAAAATTAACTCTTTTATTTAGATAGAAAAAAGTACTAGGATTTAGTAAATCCTAGTAAAATTCAATAACGTCTTTATGAAAAAAATTAACTCTTTTATTTTTCCGGGATTTTCGGATTTTTCCGGGAGGTGAAAGTAGACCAGTTCCTATTATTGTCTCAATCTATCCCAGTTTTAAAAATATATGTTTCTGCGTGCCATAGAACGTAATATATTGCTCCAGCGCTCTTAAATTTAAAGTTAAATAAATATTATTTTTATGTTAACTTTCTATTGCATAAAGGGCCCAAATGGGAACTCAAAATATAACCGTTTCCATGAATATTTGCTATCGACAAATGTTAACCGCGTACAAGGTCAGTAGATATTTTAAGTAGGTTGCCTCGTAACTATGTGGGCGAAGCGAGGGGAAGGCAGAATGCCTACGTCACTCATACGACAACGTCAAATTTGACAGTTGTCTGCACGTCTGAGTTTAAGTTCACGTATGTGTTTGTATTCGTATATTTTTTTGTGGAATTTTCGTATAGTATCATTAGTTCGTTTAGTTTGTTTAGTTATTATTTAGTTTTTTATTTTTAAGTATAGGTATAGAGAACAGTATTATTTATATGAGACTTATTATTTAGTTATTTGTGTACAGAAACACATTTTTTTAGATGAGTGACCTATAGCCTGAAGATTTGTGCTTGAAGGACTAATCATTTTTTTGTATTTTAATCTAATAATAAATTATTTATATTACCTATTTGTTTTTTTTTGCTACCACTAGATATGATAAGAATGCTTCAAATTCCAGGAAAAACATTAATAAGTAAGTTCCTGCATATTTAGTATTTTTGCTTTTGAACTTTTTCTACTGTTTTTTTTTGGTGCGAAATAAACTGTTATCTTCATTTTAAAAACACACAATATTATCAATATAATCAATTCTATTTTTTGTCATCAGACTATTGATTTAAACAAAAAAAATTGATATAATTACTAATATAAGAACCACTTAACATCCCTATACCCAAGAAAATCCCAAAATATATTGCAAAACCTAAGTTTTTGAAACTTTTATTAGCATTGAAGCTTATGGCAATTTTAAAAGTGTCGTATGGGTGACGTATTCCCGCCTTTTAAAAGCGAGCATTTGATTGGTCTATAGTTACGAGGCAACCTACTTAAATATCTACTGACCTTGAACCGCGTACACATCTTATTCCCTCTTGTGAACATTCGTTCTTGGATGTGTATTGTGTGTTGCTGATATACCCATCGGTTGTTTGAATAAATATGGCAGTTTTGTTTAAAGTGACCTTGGAGTAGGTTGTTAGTGTGGCACGTGTATTAGCTAAGAATAAGGTAAGTTTAAGAAACAAAAATTATATTTGCGTTTATAAGTCTTGTAAGGATCTACTGATATATTGAATTAATAAATTTACTTTGTTGTTGTTAGTATTTGACCCAAATTGTTACTGTTTCCCGTACAGGAACATGTGCGCTAAAGGTAAATTAAATAAATTAATTTGAATAAACCTAAAGTAAACTTTCTTTTCAGAAAAAATGGATGAATTTGAGAACATTCCAACAACATCGTCTTACAAGAAAACAAAAAACTATTCAGCCCTTTAAGTTACGACAGATTCCTTCTGAAAATGAAGATTCGGAACTATTTGATGAATATAACGCTAAGCCGTTAGCTGCACAAACCACCAGGGCTAGAATAATCATTGACAGTCAAGAAGATTGTGATAATAAAGATGATAATTTATCAACCGATGAATCGGATACTGAACTACCTACGAAACAAAAATCTACCAAAAAAAGTCATATCACATGGCGTCCTTCAAAAGCTGTGCGAAATGTAGATGAACTGCATTTTGAAGATAGTGAATTACTTCCAACCAACATAGTACAGCTCAATTCTCCTTACAAATGGCTTAGTTTTTTTGACACCAGATTTTATAATTAACATAGTTCGACAAACTTGTATATACAGCGCTCAAACAAATCCACAAAAGCCAATTACCACATGTCCTGTAAAAATTGAAAATTTTATGGGGATATTGCTGTGGATGTCTCTAATAAGACAACCTACTACAAGACGCTATTGGGCTCCGACAACAAGAATTTCACAAGTTTCAGACGTAATGCCTATCAATCGTTTTGGAACGATCAAAAGGTTTCTTTATTATAGTAATAATTTAGAAAATACACGGAGTCTTGATAAATTCTCGCCCTGATTAAACAAATAAAAAGATAGTGTTTGTAGATACCTTTAGAATACTTATCTTGTCGACGAACAGTTATATCGTTCAAAGGACGTTCGATTATGAAGACATACAATCCGAAAAAAGCCTCATAAATGGGGATACAAGATGTGGGTTCTCAAAGGAATCTCAGGAGTTTTCATATAATTTTGAAATTTTGGCTGGAAAAGATAGTTACACCAGAATTACCGAATGAAGTAAATTGCTGCTAGTATTGTTGTAGTCCGGTTGAGCAGAGAAATACCGTCCAATAAGCACCACAAATTCTTATCCGATGATTATTTTTCAAGTATACCACTAGTGTCATATTTATCAAAACGAGGCATAAATTCTATCGCAACAATCCGTACAAATCGAAGTAGGAGGACGCAAAGGGATTACAAAGAGAAGCATTCAGGAACACTCTGGTACTTATCAGAATACTGAAATACATACAGTCCAGTGGTGTGTGACAACAAAATTGTGTCTTTACTGTCAGATTATTGTGGAACTCAACAGCCGAAGTATAAAGTTTCTTTCGCACCGAAAGAGCTAGGAAAGAAATTGATAGCCCAGACATTGTACAACAATGTAACAGGCACATGGGCGGTGAGAATCTGCAAGATTCCTTATTGGGATTATATCCAATCAAAATCAAAAGCAAAAAATGGTACCACCGTATTTCTATCAAATGCTGAATATAGCTGAAAAAAACTGAAGAGATTATACCACTGTTGAAGATTTCAAAACAGCTTGGAACTGACAGAAGTCAACAAGTTAAAAAGTGTAAAAAGGCACTTAATATTCAACCTCTGAAGGGGAAAGATGTATTCTCCAGCGACCAACGCCACGTGGTTCTTAAGTTAAAGAAAATTTTTGAGTTTATTCGGAGGCAAATTTAAGTTAAAGAAGGCGTGTTTGTTTTGATAATGGTTTGAAGTTTTTGGAAAAGAAGGCTTTAGTTTAAATACTGTTGAATATCATCAAAATTAAATTGGTAGGTACTCGTGTTCAGATAATTTAATGAAAAATGCATTTCAGAAGGAATTTGAAATATTCGCGATATCAGCACTGCAATAAGTATTCAATGAACATTCAACATAAGTTTTTTAGTAATTTCGACCGGTTCGAGCTATCGGCTTTGCGCGAGTTATAGGGCGTAGATGGGAAACTATTCTGAATTACTTTGTGGATATGTTTTACAGGTTTTTAGGTGGTGTTTTATAATTCCTAATGTATACACTTCTTTAAGAGTTTAAAAGAAAGATAATTTAATACTCTATATTAACTTAAAACACGTTAAATTAAACAAATATTTTACCAATACGTCAAGAAATATATCTAAATATAAGTGTCTAATAGAAATTCAAAATTATGAATATTTTAAGCAAAGTAAACATGTTTTTTCATAAATTCTAATTATGAATACAAAATGAAATAGTTTCAAGCTACTTACAGTCAAATTACTTAATACTTAAAAATAAATCGTTTAACTGTATCCATAAACATAAACCTATAAATTATAGTTGTACATAATATGGAGCTAAGATCACAAGCGGTCTGAAGCAATAAAAATAGCAATGAATATGTTGACACAATACACAAACATTGTCACATTCTCAATTTATAAAATTCAAATACAATACCATTTCATTGTACATCTCTTCGGACATTTTCTGAAAATGTAAACGAAATGTCTCTACACCAGTACGATATTTACTTAATAATACGAAATAAAATAATGGAAATATTGTATAAATATTCCAGTAAAGAAAAAAATCAAACAAGAATTCTTAAAAAACATTAAACTGATCCTAAAATGTTGTGCAATTTATTGTTAAATTAAACTTTTATACTTAGCAAGTGGACAAAATTCATCTTATGGATAAAATAAGTAAAATTTCTAATTGCAACTGAGTAATATATAATAATAATCTTTGAGTACTTCACTAATTGAGATACTTAGATCAATGTTAGATATGAGCCACTTTTAGAGCATTACAGAAAATCGGTGTTGACGATAAAGATGAAAGAATAATAAAAGAACTATAGTGGAGCCAATTAATAAAAATCCGTATTAATAACTATCTTTCAGCGTGTTTGCCTCATTATATGTTTTGGTGTTTCAGTATCACCAACATGAGTTCAACATGGCCCATCTAGCGCAGACGTCCTGATCTTTATGGATGTTATGACCTCGGGTTCATTGTATGCTGTGTATAGTTCAAAAATTATATCTTCTGCGCCATGTCATTTTCTTTCAACCCCTTATATATGTTGTCTAAGAATTTTTCGTTCAAACGTACCTAATAGGTTCTCATCGCTTTTCGACAGTGTCCATGTCTCTGATCCATATACAAGGACCGGTTTTATTAGGGTTTTGTATATTTTGCATTTGGTTTTTCTTGTGATGTTAGATCTTAGATGTTTAATTAGTCCATTAGATGTTTTGATTAGCGATATGAATTCTTCTCTTAACTTCTTCACTGACATTGTTATATCTACGGTTAGTGTTGAACCTAGATATGTAAAATTTATTCACGCTTTCTATGTTATAGTCATCCTATTATCAGATTCTGTACGTTTCTTTGGCCTGTTGATTTGCTGACCTTCATTTATTTGGTTTTTATTTCGTTAATGTTTTGTGCTGCTCTTTCTGTCGCATTAAATGCTTCTATCATCCTCTCTTTCGCTTCTAGTTATGATATCAACATCATCTGCAAATGCCAATATTTGTATACTTTTTGTTATAATTGTTCCTCTGCTGTTGACTTTTGACCCTCTAATTATTTTCTCTAATGTGATGTTGAATAGAATACAGGATAGGTCATCTCCCTGTCGTAGGCCCGTTCTTCCATGGATTTTATCTGTTAGTGCGTTTTAAATTCGAATATGCTTTGTACTTTAAGTGTTTTCTTATACTATATCAATGAGTTGAGTTGGAATCTTAAACTCTTTCAGTGCATGGATCAGAAATTCTTGATGATGCTATCATAGGCACTCTCAAAATCAATGAAAAGATGATGTGTCTATATTAAATCACCACTATCCCTCCTCAGTCCTTAGCCCTTGTCAGGGCTATAGTGACACCCTAAATATTATTAGTCATGCTGTCTCCATTGACTGCGATCTTGTTGCCATATGGGACGGCTTTTGTTAGGGATTTTTCCCACAAACTCTTCATTTGTGTTCCACCCATCGTATTGGAGATCTTCCTCTTGGTCGTCGGCCTTCTACCTTACCTTCTACTACCATAGTTCCATGGTGCCCGTTCTTCTAGCTATGTGGCCGAAGTAAACTAGGTATGCTTGTTTACTTTTTTTAGTAGACTGTCTTTTATATGAAGCTCTTCCAGAATTGACAGGTTGGTTCTATGTTCTGTCCAGGACAACGCGTAGAATTCTTCTATATACCCACATTTCGAAGGCTTCGATCTTACTCCTTATCGATTTTTTTTGAGAGTCCATGTTTCAGCTTGCATATGTAGCAATGGGAAAAATAAGGGCATTGACCAACCTAAAGCTTAGTATACCTTGTTATTGTTCGGGTCTTTCCATATTTTAATTAATTTAGCAGTTGCGGTTCGGGCCTTTCCCTAGTCTACGTTTGATTTCTGAGGAACAATCACCATTTGTTGGTTTTTCAGAGAGCCCAAGTATACAAATCTGTCGACTACTTTCGAAAATCCCTATTTGGCGTATATGCGGTAGATTATTATTTGCTCTGTCTACGAATCATTATTTTTTGTTTTTTCTGGTGTTGATTTGAATAAAATCACCACTATACAAACCAGAAAATTGGAATACCTAGGCCACGTGATAAGGGGCCAAAATATGAAATTTTGACTCATAATACAGGAAAGATTCAAGGAAGAAGATCTGTTGTGTCGAAGGCAGGAACTCATGGTTGAAGAATCTACGTTGATTGGTGCCAATGCAGATCGATTGATTTGCTTAGAAGCCGCAAGTTTCAATAATAAAAATAGCGATTATGATTGCCAACCTCCGTAGGGAGAGTTACCTAAGTACCTCCGGCACTCTAAGAAGAGAAGAATACTATCTCATATTTTGTTCAATATTTATGTTGAGAAGGTATCGCAACTAGCTTTATGAAATGAGATACAAGGTATCAAGAATGCAATGGCATATCAATAAATAATAATAATTCGTTACGCAGAAAATACCACAATCACAATAATAGGTAATTCAAGCAATTTGGAAACAAAAATTAACAAGTCTGGTGAATAGTTCGGGCTTCGTATTAATACTGCTAAGTACAGTAATAATGGTGGTTAGTAGACATCACCACAATATGCCCCTTAAAGTCAATGAGAATATAATAGAACACATCATGAGGTTTACTTATCTCGGAGTTATATAAAATGAAACAAGCGAATATGATGACGAAGCAACAGGGCGGATTGACCGTGCCAAAACCATATTTTTTAAAATTAACAACCCCATTCTATGTCAGGTACCACTAAGTACCAGAATACACATTTTCAAATGTTTTGTGTGGTCTATTTATTTATTATATTGTGTGGTCTATATGATCTAAAAATTACGTAGAAAATGTGGTACAGAATCGTGGTCACTTCTATAGAATGACCGAGAACTGCTTAAACGTTTCGTGCGAAAAATCCTAAGAATAATGTATGGAGGAATAAAAAGCAAGGTTTGTAGCTCACGCGTTAGAATTTTGAATAGTATATAAGTTTTGGGGAACCTGATGTAAAATTCATTAGGGTAGCATGCCTTAGATGGATAGGGCATATAATCTGGCGAGACGAAGATGCAACAGTAAAAAAGTTTTTGGCCGAAGAGAGCCGATGGGACAACGAACCAGAGAAAGACCGAAACTTAGGTATCAAAACAACCTAGGGAATGATTTAAAATCTATTGGAATTAGAGCCTGCAGAAGAGTTGCCAGAGACAGGGGGAAAAATATTGTTCTGCACAAGTCTTCGGCTCATAAAATGCTGTGATACCGCTAATGATGATGATTGAGAAATATAAGAGATAGGAAAAACACAAACGGAAACAACATAAGACATATACCTCAAAATAGAAACGAGTTACCTCTTTTAGACAGCTAACAAGATGACATAACATGACAGGGAGGGAAGTAACTTTCTGGGCTCATTATAACATGTTCTTCTCATTAAGAATTAACAAAAACTTAAAGGTTTAACACCGTGCTTCACCTTAATTTTCAAATGCAACGCGAAAAATGTGTAGTTTTGTGGAATAGTGAAAATTAGATAGGTTTATAGAATGACAAAAAGAAAAGTATAAATAAACAAAAGATAGTTTTTCGATCAACATTAAAGACTCGAATCGATAATGTTCTCTTCTGATAAGTATCTTAATTAGTATTAAAATAATTGTTATGTTTATTGTCTCTATTAGAAGCATTCTAATTATTTTATCCATAAAATATTCGAGAAGCATAAATTAAACAAATTTTTATTTTTTTAAAGGTCTGTAGACAACATTATTGCTCATAAATATTAGTCACAAGGTGTGACTCAAAAAGAAAAGAAGAAAATCTAATGCTGTTAGATGTTAACACTTTAAATACTGTACAAAATCTGAATCTAAAAATGAAAAAAAAAACGACTATATACAATAGAACCATTCACCAAGAAGCACAAATTTGATTAAAAACTACAAATTAGAGAGGTTTCAAATATGCATAACTTCAAAATTAAAATTTGGACACTTCTCTCTTCACTGCTTAAAAATTAATGAATTAATCGAGGAAATTGATAAAAATATATTAAAATGAGTTATTAGTCCAGGCAAATAAGTTTTTTTCGGGAAGTTTTTTCTCTTAATATATATCTATTAGTGAGAAAACCTATGTTTTCTGTAGAAATTTCGGCGTTGTTTTTTAATTACGCACACGTTAGTGCGAAAAATGCGATTTTTTTCGAATTTTCGCTTACCCTTAAAAAGGTAAGCGTACAGCGTAAAGTATTACAGTTAAATATAAACAATTAATGAGATGTTAAAAGATAGAAAAACATTTAAAATGGAGTGTTCAAAAATTGTTTAAATTAATTTGTTGCTAAAAAAAGAGCGAAAATAAGGAAAAATCGTTAATTGTTTATAACTTTTGTAAAAATTAACTTCAACTTTTGTGATTGCTCTTAACACATTACCTGCCGCCTCGGTCTATGTGACCGAGAAAAACATTGCTCTGCTCGCCAGCGAGGTCTATTTGACCAAGAGTTTTAATGTAACTGTGATGCCGTCTCGGTGACTATGGCGTGAACGGAAAGTATTACAAAATCCTCTATGGCAGGAAACGTGTTAAAGGATAGACTTGTGGTGCTTATAACAAACCGTAAAAATTTTAGCTCTATCCATCGTTTGTTTGAAAGTGATTAGAAATGTTTATCACAGAGGTTATTTTTTTGTACTAAGCGTTATGCATCAAAAAAAATTAAGAAAATCATTTTATAACCTGTACCATTTCCAAATTCTTTGAAATATATATTGAAATCCCGTCGTATTTTCTAAAGTATCGAAGAATGATTTCAGTTCCTATTCGTACAAATTTAAAAAAACCTAAATACTATTTCGTTCTATTTACGTCGCGTAGCCATTGAGTCGATAATAAACCATTTTAAAGCGGTTTATGTCACGGACGTGTAATTCTTTGATATTTTTCTTTGACCATTAAGCTGCTCGATACTTTGTTAAATAAATAACAAATAAATATTCCCGTCAAGTGTTTTGTTTATTCCAAATTATGCGAATGAATTTTAAAAAGATAATTTCTCACACTCGCTGAGGAGTTGTTATCGTTAACATCGTCTTCTAGCGTTTGTCCAAATTTCACGTCGAATTTGTAAAGTTTTCTGGTTGTTGCCCCTTTTCATGGAAAATGTGTAGCAGTGTAAAGTATAGCAGCAGTTTAATGGTTCAGTTACAGTTTTAAGTGAGTATTGAAATATTGCCATTGTTTTTGTTTGTGTCCAGAGATTAACCCCAGTTCTATCCCCAGAGATTCCAGTGAAGTCCAGTAACAGAAAATTCAAAGTGTTTTTGTGAAATCTAGGTAACTTTTTTATTTTAAACATTTGAATTAAAAATAAAAATTAATAATAATAATTTGCTTTCATTAAAATTTAAGAATTTGTAACAATTAAAATTATATGTCTTAGAGCGTGGTTAGCTGTCATTTTAATTGTTCTTTTTTAAATATAATGTTAACATATGACAGCTCGTTTTATTATTTTTGATATTAATTGTTTTGGTTAAAAAAAAAAGGTTAACTTCTAGTAATAGTTTTTTTTTTTAAAGATATTTCTTTATTTGTAATAATTTTATTTCTGTATTATATTTGTGACTACTAATATAGTGTTTTTTATATTGTCTATTTTGTAACTGTTTGTGGTGAGACACAATAAATGTTTAATTTTTTTTTAACCGATTTGTTTATTTTATCTCTCTAAACCCCCTCTTTTGTAAAAATATTTAAGTATTTGTTTACAGAAGTTATTTTAAACTAATCGTCCTCATCGATGGTGCTCTAGTATTTTGACTTCATTAATATAATATGGGAACGACTGATTACCTTTTACTTTTCTTGTGATTTTGTCCTGTCAGTTCGATTCATTCCCATGAACTCAAAATATTTTTACAAAAAGCCCAGAACACGTCTTTTTATGTAGGTAAATATAATAGGCGAAGAATACACCATGTAAATATGGTGTATTGGTGACATAATCAGTCTCGTCCATGTTCCTCTTTGTTTTCTCCATAATATCATATCTCGTATTTCGTCATTTCATGTAAAAAATATATATTTTTCATTGTTAACAATTATTTTAATAGTTACAACTAGCTGTTGTAGGCGGCGTCCTTTTTAAATTGATAGAGGTGTTTTCTTTTGTTTTGCCAATTTGTTCCGGGAGATTCATGTAAGTAACCCCTTTGTTCCATTTTTTTTGTAGTTGCCCCAATCCGACTCCCTTGCCATTTACTTATCCACGACTCCAGCTCTCCAAACAAATCCTGAGTGCCGTTCGCATGAGTTTCGTTTATTTTGCTTGCCCTATCTCTAGCCCAATAGTTTCTGTCCCCAATTTTCAATCCCCATCGTAATACCCTATGTGGTAGGCAAATATATTCGTTACAAAACCAAGAATTGTTTTGTGAGGTTACTGTTATTTTTAACTCATAAAAGAATTTAATTCGTCATTTCGAAAAGGCCACAAGTCGATTAATTAAAACTTCGAAAAGGATACAAGTCCATTAATTAAAAATCCATAACTTTTTCTGCAAAAATGACCCCTATCATAAATAATTGGAATATCTTTTGAACTAATTGATGAATCGGGCTGAAACTCTGACGGTTTGTTAGCTTTAAGAGCAATTATTACAAAAGTGTCGGTTACTTTTTATAGAAGTTTTTATTGCCTTATTTTACTGTTTTTGTAAAAACAAATTAATTAATATAAAATTTTTTAGAATACACGATTTTAAAGTTTTTCTATCTTTTAACAGATAAAATGTTATACTTAAGTATAAAATCCCATTTTTTATTAAATAAAAAACAACGCTGAAATTTCTGCAGAAAACTTACACGTTTCCTTACTATAGAAATATTTTACCAGAAAAACTCCAAATATCGCGAAGTATTGAACACGGATAAATTTTGCTTATTTCACTGGAGTATGTTTGATATTTTTTATATATCTTGTGGTTTAAGATCAATAATTGTATTCGTTCAAGTGGAAAATATTAATTTATGCAAAATACAATGATTTCAACCGGTTCTATTTGCACAACTCATTTTATTTAATAATTCTGTTGCCACTACGATTGTAAAAATATATAAGTATTTGTTTACAGAAGTTATTTTAAAGAATAATTCTAACTGAATGTGCCTTGAGAAGTATTTATTAATGTGTTTGTTAAACAAAGATGAAATAGTCAAAAATAGATAAAGTATCCTTTTTCTAAGATTCTGTGTATATTTAATGGGTCGACAACATTATAGAGCTGTCAATTTTGTCTACGTAATTAATAAAATACAAATCACTAGTCTCGGATGATTTTATGGTCCTCAAATCGATGGTTCTGTAATAAATCATGAATGTTTTGCTTGCGTGAGTCCATTTCAAATAGGCAAAAGAAATAATAAATAAGACTTACTCACAATCAGTTTAATTTAATTATCTAGACGACCGGTTTCGCTTTCTACAATATGCAAAACATCTTCAGGTCTGTCGATACAAGTTAATTAAATGCTGAAATAATAAAACCCATATTAGGGTGTTATCTTATAAAGATAAACAAAGATAAATGATATAAATTACAGTAATTATGCCAATATTACATGTCTGTGGTTTTTCAAAATAAATAAACTGTTTGAAGCAGACAAAGTGAGTAAGACAAATTGGTATAAAAATAGTTTATTGAATTGTAATCGATACTCTATAACATCTGCTTTTGCAAAATTTTGTAATACATATAATCTTTTTATTCCATACATTTTTTCAGAAGATTTTGTATAAGTAGGAAATTTTTATTTTTCATTTTTTTAATTTCTCATTAATTAAAGACATCTTTTAGCGTGTTAAAATATTCAATTCCCCACATTACAAAAATAAAGTCAGGTTTTGACATAAAACTAGACAAACAAAACTAGATACATAACTTTTAAGTTAAAACTCTTATAAAGTAAAGAATGTATTTGTAACTTAGATTTAGATTTAAACTCCAAATACAAAAGATATTCTTATAATCGTAGTAACAACTGAAAACAATTTCCTCTGTGTTTATCTAATCTTTATAAAAAAATAATTTAAACTCACCTCCCGAATGGTAAGTGTATGCGATACCATCTGGATATTGTTTTGACTCTGGCTATTTGGTAAGTTTTCACTCGACCTCGACCTCACTAACCTCGAGCCGTTCACCACATTTTTGCTCTTTAGAATCATTTCAGTCTTCAAAAAAACCCTCGATATGTACGAGGAACTCAATCCCCTAATGCCAAACGCTACCTTGAGCACCTTCTGCGGCGACACTGGGCATTCCTTGCAGAACTTCGTCAGCGCGCTGTCGACACCGTTCTTCTGGATTTCCGCCAACCATTCCGAAGACGATGACGATGAAAATTTTTGGAATAGGATAAGGATGGCCATCGCTGTTCGGTATAATACCTGGAGTAAAAAACAAAAAGGTAGTTAAAAGTGCATTCGCATAGCACAAAACCATTACACAAAGCGGTAATCAGAGCTGGCCTTGCAATAAGGCCATAAGGATAAATATAATCTAAAACACGCTTAAGTCCTTTTTGTTACTTTTTTACCATATAAAGGAGAATTATTTGTCAGGAATGTAATAAAACTCATAAACAAGGTCAATCAAAGTTCATTTGACTTTACAAGTATTTCCAAATGCTCTGTAGGATATGGAATTTCTGCTAAATGAAGTAAAATAAGAAATTACCTATTTTTAACATCAAGAATTTAAGTTATGGTGAAGCGCTACTTTTAAGAAGGACTTTTTCTTAAATTATGCTTGGATCACATCTTAAGAAAAAATGCAAAGGAAATGTCCCATACAATTTGGTTCTGATGAATCTGATTCACAATAAATCAGATCATGGAAGAGAAATTGCATTTGGTCTAGATCAGGACTAATGATTTTATCGAGTAACTTAGAAATTCAATGGTTGATTATTTCTCTTTTGTTTTCCTTCTGTGATGTAGAAAACTTCTGTATTTTCTCTTTCTTTTTCTTTATTTTTACAGATTACTAAGTGCAATAAATTTCTAAAAGTATGAGTACTTGTTGCAGGTTCCAAATTTTATATAAATATTATTAAAATATTAATATGACTTTTTGTCCAGTTTTGGTTCTACTATAGGTAGCCAAGATTTCGATTACAAAAACCCAGACACAATCGAACAATCAAATGGTTGTTGATACAATGTTGCATTGAATAAACTGTTCATTCATACATTGTTGTGAACCATGAGGCATGGAAAAATGAGTATATTTCGTTAAAATTTCAGAGCGCATTGGGTAATTATCGTCCACATGTAGCGTCATCTAGTAAAAAAAACAATTCGTTAACGACCGCAGTTTGCCAGAGAAATGATTTGGATCTGCCCATACTACACAGACGTTTGTCTGAGTTAAGGGTAGCGCTCGCTACCTTGCCACCCCTTTTGCTGTTCCATTATGGCAAGTATAACCTATATTATGTGTTGCCAAATATATACATTGCTGCTATATCGAGTAGTGTTTCACTGGTATATATAGTTGCTGCAAATACATGTTTTTTGTGGTGAACTCTATTGAATCGTGTGCCACGTAATTTAACCGCGAAAATAAGACATTTATTTCGAACATTTATTTAACTATTATGTACACCTACGCACAGGCAACAAAAGCGCAACAACTTTAATCTCGATAGATAATAATAGATAATCTTACGCAAATACCATCTTAATCTTGAAGCCAACAGCAGGATGGACTAATGAACTCAGTCAAAGAACTGGTCACTAGAATTGTCCACGAGTCAATTTCTGACATCAAGTTAGCATTGAACTAAGGCAGGCTAACAGGGGATACTTGAGAATAAGCTCCTGGAACCCAGGATGCGTAAGGACCAACCAGAACATCTTGGACGAAACTGGTCCAAGTCTGAATCCAACTGTTCAGAACTGTATCCAACAGATATGAAATTAATGTCGTAGCAGTACAGGAAACAAATCTCACGAACAACATAAACATAAAATTTCCTGGCTACGACATATATAGGAACGACGACACAGGAAGAGCAGGAGGCACAGCAATCCTAGTGAAAAACGGAATCAGAAATCAGAATTAGACATCTATACTAATTGTAGTTTTGTTTCACTATTAATAATAATTGATATATGTGTATCTATATATATTTTGTATATTATTTATCCTATATACAAACTCATACTAGTTGCTTTAAAATCGATATTTATCTGGAAAACAGCTGTGAAAATCATTGCAAGGTTTGTCTTTCTTGCCGTATCATATTCTAGCATACTCCTGCTATGATTCCATGCGTAGACAAGCGGTTTGTGTGATATATAGATATCTAAAGTTCGTATCATATTTAGTTTTCGAACAGCTGTGTTTTAACGTTAATTCGTTCACCTGTTGTAAAGCATTCTGTAATTTGTAGATACAAAGAATTTATTAGAATTAAATGTATACATAATCTTCTGTGTGTATGTTATTTTTTTTAATATGTACTGGATTTTGTATCGTTGTTATGTGTATTTTAACTTGTAAATATTAAGAATTTTTTGGAATTGAATGTATATAATTTATGTATTGATTTTATAAAAAATTCCTAATAAACTCTACCTTATCGTTGGATATCCGATACTAATTTGTAAAAACATTCATTTATTTCATATTGCTATATGGAGTGGAAACATTTACTCTCGTCATCACAACTATGAGACGTGTAGAAGCCTTTCAGATGTGGGTTCGTCGAAGGATGCTGAAGATCTCTTGTACAGAGCACGTGACCAACAACGAGGTGCTGAGAAGAATGGAGACTGAGAGAGAACTCCTAAATATTGTAAAAACCAGAAAAAGAGTTATCTAGGACATATCCTACGACTGATAATGGAAGGAAAAGTGGCATAGAAATACATGCGATACTAAGAACAGCTCAAGATAGAGAGCAATTTGCTGTCGTTATAGCCAATCTTTAGTAATGGAGAGGGCACTTTAAGAAGATTGATTTTACTTGTTTTTAAATAGAGTTTCATACAGTCCTCTTACCTATTAGTTATTTATGGTAATACAAACACAAAACAGCGAATGGGGAAACCAGCGAGTTGTAGATTGAACATATTTATTCATCCTTTCTTTCTGATGGCCTCGTATGTTATATAGAGGCCATCGTATATGCAGAAAGCAACACTACTTACCTTTACCCCTTCATGGAAAAAACAGTCCATAACCCTCACGAGATGTTGAAAAGGTAGTCCTTGAAATATCCACCAGATCCAGTCCATGTATATTTTTTCTTGTCGATTAGTTGTACAATGCCTCTGAAGATGGACTGCAGCTGACTTCTGGAACAAGTAAATAGAATTAAATCTCAAGATAATAATAATAAAATTATAAAGCTCAACTGCTTCGAATTTTCCTAAAATAAACTAAGTTACATTCAAGTTTAGTATTTAAAAACCAATAATTTCAATTAAACAGCATTGAAAAAACAGTATGCCACGCCAGTTGACGTCTAATGGCAGTTTCATAATCACGTAAACAAAAACTTCTCAGGTGAAAGAATACAAAAGCCTCTTCGGAAAGAACTATTGAATGCACAACATCGCTTCAGGCACTACACAAAACAAGAAATAAAAAATGAAAAGAGAGGAGAGAAAGAAAATAGACATAGAGTTTATTTATCATCCTGTAGGCTATTTTGACTAAATAATAAACTAAGCAGAGATCCTACAATACGAAAGGATAAAAGAGGCAAAAATGTTTATCAGTGCGAAAATCATTTTTCTATGCGAATTTTTATTGTGCAAGTAAGTTGTGCATCGAAATAAAATCGATTGTTTGTTGCAAGGTACGGATTTCACCACAAGATAAAATCGATGATCAAAAATAAAATGGAAGTCAACAAGTTTCACCGAAAGTGAAAAAATTATTAACACCGGCAGTTATAAAAGACTTACTGTTAGATGTATTTTGTTGTCAAAACAAGTGTATCTATCATCGGCGTCGTTTGCAAAGTTATACTGTTTTTATTAATGTTATACTGTTTTCTCAAAACCGGAAATATTTCCGTTTTGACAATTTTGCCGTAATAACTTATAATGCTAAATTCAGAAGCCGTGTAGGAGCTAAATCAGAAGCCGGTTACATTTAAATTTGGCAAATTGTAACTCCAGTCGACTAGTTCACGAACTTACAAGTACGATTGCGCGATAGCCGTGGTATTTCCCGCGCTTTGTACCAATACTCTCCGGTCTGTTGATCCTTTTTGATAGATAGATGGATAGATTGATAGTTTATTTGACTTGTTTTAAATCAAGGTTTTACATAAACCTTAAAACGGGGTATTACTGCAAGTCTCAAAACTAAAAATATTTGATAAATATTAAAGTTTACAAAATAATGATAAACAACTATCATTTAAATACTCATTTAAGATACTTATATACTTTAAAGAAACGTTCAATTATAGACATATTAATTAAAATATTTAATAATTTTGGGTGGGTATGTTGCAGCTTAGATCATTCACTGCACTATGACATCCCCTTGTAATATTGCTCCTAATGTATGATCGGACACATGGTCAACTAGGTACTCTTGGTATCTTGGTTTTATAAAAGCTGTAGTTGGTGATTAAATGCGTTTATTTAAACTTCGTGAGGAACGCTGGAAGTGGATTATACAGTTAGTTAGAATCCACAGATAGTACGATGACTCTCCTGCTTAGTTCTAAATGTGTCAGATGAGCCGGTACTAAATATACTGTCTCCTTATTTCTTGTTGTTGTCGTGAGTGAATCATTCACATCGTTACATAAAAAAGTTCTTTTCTATTTATGTCATTTGTATCAATAATTTCAAAATGTTAATTCCTATACACTGTTAATATAGTTCCAATGCTCTAATTAGGTTATTTTCAAGGCCAAGACTCATACGGCAACACCTGCCTAGTACATCTGACAATACGTTTTTGGGCCTGTGAAAACGTCCTTTGACACTTGAGGAAGAACCACCCCAGACAGTCATACCGTCATATTCACACCCCCCCCCCCCCCTTTTACCGTTACGTATTCGTCCATTCGTTCCTCGCAAAAATAAAACAGATCGAGTCAGTTGTTGCTGACTAAGTATTGCTACCAAAATCTTCTCAAATTTGATAATCATTTAGAATCTTCGAGTTTCTTTACCTACATTCCAACAATGAGTTGTTATTAAGATAATATGAGCAGGCGACTAGTCATACTCCTCAAATAACTTCACATCCGCTACACTCAAAATTTCCTTACCATTCGAATGGAAATACTTAAATTCAGGGTTTGGTTGAATGTTGATCGTGATCGCCGGTCCGCCTTGAAAACTGTGATATGTAAATGATACAATTTAGTTTTTGTGGAATCTACTTGACGACAGGAGCGCGCGTCTGGATTACTGGACCCAATCAGAGAAGGTTCTTCAGAGAGTTTGTGATTTTCATCTTGTATCAACATTGTAGGTCTTTATCGCCGAGTTATAGCCTTTGTGGAGGTTCAGCCGCATAATCATGATTACCAAGTGCATCCTGGCATACAATGTGGTTAGTTCATTAACCTATACACAAAAATAACTATATATAAGCCGCCCTATCTTGAGCCCTGTGGGGGTTATCTCCATTCGCTATTAATAATCGGGAAATCCGACATTGAAAATCTTAAAGTTTTTTTTCACTTTTACATCTATTTGGTTGCCGGTCTTTCAGATAGGAAACAACTCCCATTATGGGCATAACTACCTCCAACCTCCCCCGTCCGAACGACCATATTTGTACAATCTATTCGATGGAGCACAGCGTTGGTGCAACACAATCAGAATGCACGTCTTAAGACACACATAAGAATGGCCTGTGTGGATTTTCACTGGCTCGGTCTCAATTGAGAGTATGACTTCTTCTTTTATAAACTGTTATTGGGCTGGGCGAATGTAGCTAAAGTAATTTATTGCGTAAAATCCATGTTGATGACTTTGTGCTAATTTGGTTAGATATCTAAAAATAAATTATAAAGTGCTGTTTTAGCATTGCATATTCAATAATCTTAGATAATCAACAGATGGAACCAGACCAATGGTCGAAAAATCATTGACATTTATTTCAGGATCACCCTTGTTTTAATACCGGTGTAATGTTAGAAGTTTTCCGCATATTGGGATAAATCACCACGTAGTGGAAAGAAGCATTTATAATGCTGTGAAGTCATGTGGTGTCTAAATTTGAGAACGCAATTTTACTTAATGCTTCTATTCCCCTTGATATTTCATTCAAAAACCACCACGGATGCTTCTTGTTTTTTTTTTAATGTATATTGTATTATGATCTAAGACATCTTCCTCTGTTAACATATAGTTCAGGGAACAAACTAGTTTGAATACACAATCAATGGAAATGCTGAAAATTGTAAATTTAGTTTAATTATTTTTCTAATTATATCCACTGGTCTGCATCTATATTAAGTAATCATTAATTTGTTTGATATTATTCTGAATCTGTAATTCCTATGTATCATCTATTTTTTAGGACAGATATTTTTGTGCATTTTTTTGTTTTCCATTAAGTTATTTTATAACTAGCCCATGTGGTTTTGTTTTTGTTTAGAGGATTTAGAGATTTTGTTTAAACATAAATTGATCTCTTGTGGCCTCAACAAGAACTTTGTGCTGATATTTTTTTTTGTCTATGTAGAGTTTTTCAGCTCAGGGGTAAGTCTTACTACAATATATACAAATCCTTCAGACTATCTGAAGTAAGAATTTTACTTCTTGGGTGACCATTAGTATTTTTTTTGTTTTGGTAATGTTTGGTTTCTCTATTGGACAACTAATATTGGAAACTACGAACTGTAATTTATCATGCAAAGGCATCTATATTTACTCCTCATACATGCTGTTGTGCATGATAATCATCTTGCCATGTTTTCTTTACTCAAGAGAGTTGTTGAATGCATACTATAGCGCCTTCATTGTGTTACTCTGAAAGTATTTCCGAACTGTTGTCATAGTCTAGATTATAATAAAATTCAATCGTGAAAAGGAATATATGTAGATCCTTGTCGTCTTCTTACATTCCTTCCCATTTAGTATTACCCACCTTTCACGACGAGGATACTGTATCATGAGCTTACGCGTATCCGACACGTCGCAGATCATTCACATTAGACTCAAATGGAGCTTTTCACACGAGGACGCGCGACAGATACAGTAATGCGAGGATACCGAATGCAGTAATGCCAGTGATACAGAAGAAACTTTACGTTAAATGAACGCTTTCAGGACACAAATTCTGTTATCTCGCAGTACAGTATCTCACAGTACAGGGGCGGGATAAACGTGCCCCGGTTTAGTATTCACTTGCTACGCGAGCTGGTCGGAGAATCACGTCAGACCTACCTGTGGCACAATTGGTCAGCTTGGCAGGCTGCATTTGGGCCACCCACCTGTCTTAAACACAAAACTTTTGTCGCACACCAACTCGGCGGAAGTTAGGCCGCCGGCTTATCCTGACTTCCCGAAAAAACCAGCGTTCATCTTGGATGTACCCAGGACTCGGACAGACAAAATGGGACAGACATAAGCGGATGCAGACAAATAATATAACCATAGTAGAAAATCCAACTTTTCTATTTTCGACATGGGAATATTTTGCGTCCATTACAATATAGATAAAGAACAACTCTTAACTCAAATCTAACTTTTTCGTTAACATCATTTAACATTAACGAATTAAACGGCGGCATACAATGTAATGTCATTTAAATGGACAATAGCGGCATGTATATAAGGTAAGTCGCCGTGTGTAGACGGACCTTTAGTAGTATCGGTATTATTGCTTTACAGAGTTGTAGCGTGGAGATTTTATCGTATCCTAACTATAAATCTTTGGTTAATATAAATCAAGTATAAAAATGTTTATAATTTATCGTAATTTTGCCATTTAAATCCTAAAAACATATATTATTCTTAACTATAATTGTACTATTTGTTGTCGCTACCACTTTGTCATCATGTTCTAGAAAAGAGAGATTGTTATGTAAGTTCACATTTTTATTATTACTTATCCGACCTATTCTCATTTATTTTACTAATTCATGTACGATTCTTCTATTTATCATCGATAATTATCTATTGTGATAACTAAAAATAAAAAATTCAATATTTTTGCTAACGAGTAATTGTTTTACTACAATCTGTTTCATTTATAGAATTACCCTGTTCATAATCTACTGGTGTTTGTACTGTAGCGAGGAGTAAGCGGTCACGTATTATAATCGTGTTGTTTGGTAATTCGATTTTAATTAAAATTATTTCATGTTTTG